TGGTTGTGTATTGGTTTTTCTTCAAGCCGCTGGCTTATTGCCTGAAGAATCTCACCTTGAAGAAGACGTCACTCTTGATGGTGTTCTTCTTTGTTCTTCCCTGGCTTCTTGTGTTGGTTCCTGTCATGGCGAACCAGCCTGTGGATTGGTACAGGAGTCATGACTTTCTTAGTACCGACACAGCACTGGACATTGGCGTCGTGATGCTGAAGTTCCACCCAGTTTGTTATTTTCATGTCTTCATTCTTGGCATGCTACTTGCCAAGCTCAGACAGCTTCTCGACAAGAAGGCTCTGACTTGCGGTCATGCTGCAGACTCGTTACGCAATCCATACCTCATCGCATTGCAGTTTCTGGCACCTCTCGGCTACTTGTTTCTGACTTTGGTGTTCAGCGTGGAGGGTTTTCAGGCCAGGCTGTGGGGCTACAAGCTGTCCGCCCGCATCTCGGTACTTTTGCCATTCCAAGCCATGATTCTATTTGGCCTGGCTGGCCTACCCAGCCTGCCACTGCCGCTCTTCTCGTACGCATTCTCGCTGCTAGGACTGCAATGAACTGTGTAAACGTGTAAACAATGTAATATTGCGCTGAATAACTGAATATGACATCGATTGGAGCCATCTTCCTTATAAGGAAGATGGACTTTCTTGAGAACTACTCGTACGCAGTCTACGTGTTCCAATTCCTTTGCTATGCGGTCTGGCCTCAAACTGGTCTAGTGAATCTGCCCCTATTCTTGATTTTCACCTATGCATCGGCTGTTGTCATCGCACGAGCCATCCAGCAACCGATTCAGAAATGGTGGGCATCCCACACCAAAGCCCGTCTTGTCGTGCCGTTCATCCTGGCCGCCTTCCTTGTTGGGCTTTCCTTGCTTCCCGACCCTGCAGCCGCAGCCACTCTGCCAGACATCCCTGCTCAAAAGTGGGTTGATGACCGCACGAAGGACATGCGCCTGGGGTTGATGGATTCAGACGGCCAGCACCTAGGTGCCGCGATTATTAATCCATCCCTCGTCGTGGTGGATGGTCAGGTGGTGGTGGTTGCCAGGCGGCACAGGCGGGAGACCACGCAGAGCAAGGGCCGCTACAAGGGCCCCGAGGTCGAGGGCGTCGAGGGCGACAAGGAGGTGGATGCGGTGTTTATCAACCAGATCTGGCACTCCGACGTGATTGTCGGAACCCGGGCTCTGGACGTTGAGCTTTGGAAGCAGTGGCCTTCTAGCAGCCTCAGCCCTTTGGCCGGGCTGTCCATGCAAGCCTGGACCGGCCTCCGCACATCCACAGGTCGGGAAGCGTCTAAATGAACTGGATGCGGTGTTCTTCGGCCATTTTTTGTTGCTGAAGTCTTGCAATCTGCTGGGATGGTAGGAAAGTATGCACCTGAGGTGGCAGTTGGCAGGACCTGTGCATCGCAGAAACCTGGATCGCCAGCAACAGCACACTGATACGGCATGTCGTCACTGGTCCGGAGGATCCCAAGGCGCTCCAGCAACCAGAGTTTCGGAGGGTCTAAGGGGGCAAGAGTATGGTCAGGTGGTGAGCCTTCGCAACACCGGCGACCTCGTGATTGCTTTCGACTCGAAGCCTCCGACAAATGGTGATCAATCCACCTGCCGAAGCAACCATCAAGGCAATGAAAAAGCGGTCTTTGCGCTCTCTGCCCGTCTCTGACTCTTTTTTCCCTACAGCAGCATGCTCGGAGGTTTTGCAGATGCTGTGACTCAGATGTGGCTTGGTCTGCTTGTGCGCAGATTTGGAATGTTTGGAACCACCAGCTTTCCTTGATGCCGAGGTACCTGTCAACGGAGGTCGACCCTGCCAGGCTGGGAATTCCAAGTTCCGCATACCGCCTAAGCTACGGCAAAGTCGATGTTGCTGAGAAGACGCTCGTCTCCAAGCAACGGTGTGCGATCACCAGGTTCTTTGGTATAGACGTGCAAGAAGGAGTGCCCTTGGAGTGGCACGTTTCCAGCTAAGGAACTGGATTCCGTTCGTGTATCAAGAGTCTGTGTTCTTCATCTACACCCCGCTTCCACATGTCGTGCTTACATCGCAAAATGACGGGCAAAGCGAGAAGGCCCGAGCATAGAGTGCCATAGGCCGGTCGGTTAGGCAATGGTGGCCGCATGCCGCGTTTTGGTCAGGTATTCAGCACAACTTTCCGTCCATTGCAGCGCGTCGTGCAAGAGAATTCCCACGTCAGGCCCGGCCCAG